ATATTTTCTATTCATTGACCAATGAAAATTGAAATATTATGTTCTAAAGTTTGTTCCCACTTATTAAAATAATATATTAGTAACTTTTTGCGTGTCAGTGGTGTTATATATAGGTACAAAAAGTATTATGTAATAAGACAATTATTATTCACTTATTTGTTTCATGCTAATTAAATATTAGAAACAAATATTTTAAAAATAATATTTAAGAAATACTTGCTTTGATCTGAAATATTTAGCAAACGTATAAATATTTCCTAAATATGTATGTAATATTTTGTGCTATCTGGGACTAGCAAACTAAATCGCTGCACGCTTCTCGGGAAATTCCCGGGAATTCGCAGAAAAATCAAAAAAATCGCTCTTCCATAAAATTACCGTTAAGAAGACCGAGAGAAGGCCTGATTATTTCTTGGATATTCCTCAAGAATAATATTCCATTAATAAATTGCTTTTGATGTCAGTTTCCCCAACGCTAAACCCTATTAATTCCTTAAATTGTTGAATCGATGATTGCAACTTTTTCTTATGACGGTGCAGCAGTTGGAAAACTTTTCCGGTGCCTTGCACGGTGAAACTCCAGAGCATGGAAACCTCCACGGAAACCCGGAACTTGTGTGAATCGTATTAATCAATGAATTTCCTATAGTTTCCATGTCATAAACTAGGACATATGTTATCTCTATGAATAATCGATCGAGTATAACAAAGCAAGCAGCAGTTAATTTTTCTACGAAAGCTACTCGACATTCGATTTTTTCGATAAACGGTTTTATATGTTTTCATAGATAATGAGCTGCTATATACGGGGTGATTCGGGTTTGTTATAACTTCGAGAGTCAATACAACAGGTTCTCTCAGGCCCTACCACCAGAAAAATTACCTAAATCGCAATGTTTCGTAGGTAAAAAGTGTTGAACATTTTTTCCTTGATTTTCGTTTTTCAGTCTTGAATCAAGTTAAATTCGGTCTACAAACAAAGTTTTAATCATCCAACCTTTTTGCAAGTGTATTTTGTGGGCCAATTCCCCTTTATTTTGTATCAAAACTTAAACAAAAAATAGTACTAATTTATCTGTACTGTATGCCCAAAACGATGCGATTTTGGAAAAATTTTAATATAATTATCATTGTTGAGGTTTCTTGGTGACCGTGAAGATAATTAGTAAAAAATAGACTATTTTCCATGGGCTAACGTTTAGGCTTTATTTAAGCCACCATCATTATCATCATCACATTATCTTAACCTGTTCTAATGTTTCCCGAAGGTATTAAGATGAAACCTAATTCTCCATGTATAGACGCTTGCAGGTCAGTGATTGTCTCTACACCTTCACCAGTTCTTCCCACTGATATCAGAGAAATGTCCTTGTTCTAGACCGAAATTACCTGTTCCATAGGTATGTGTTGCTAATTTGGCTACGTCCACATCGGTGAATTCCAATTCCTGTTCAGCGCCTATATCATGATTTGCTAAGATTATCAGCATGATCAAATGATCCAGAAGATGTCTCATTCCTGACTGCCTCCTTGTTACTTGATCATCTCGTCTGGAGTTTGGATTCACTCAATTTTAATCATGCTTTCCGGTATTTGCAGGGGCTCACTTATGCATGAGCTGAACGAAAGTTGTTTTAAACTTTTCAGAACAGCTTCAGTGCGCATCAGCTAATTAACTGTACATATTAATACCTTTGTGTAGCTGATAAGCATCAAAATCATTTCACTTCCAGCACCGTGACAAATGTCTCACAGCCGCGAGAAACTAAATTTACCACGAAGAAATAAACCCGAAAGGATGCTGGTCCTATAGACAGTGTTTTTGTGCTTGTATCCGTCATTTTGTATTATTACTTCCGGAAAATTGATCAAACGTAACGTCCACTAAAAGCGCAGGTGTAGGGAAACCTATTCATGAACTGAACGAATTTAGGCCTTCAGCTTGATTTGTATAAAGTTTCACTGAAAGCTCGCTATTTGCAGCTTTTCCGCAGGTTCCTGAATAGCAGCCCATGGGATTAAAAGTTGTTTCATGTCGTACAATAGTTGCCATTGAAACCTGCAATAACAACACTGAAATTGGCTTTGAGTCCACTACCAGCAGGAATAAATGTTATTTAAATTTACACGAATTTTAATCGCTGCATAATAACATAATCGAACTCGATTTTAAATCGAATGGCCAGTCGATTAGTACAGTTCTTTCATATTTTCTGTGCCAACCTTGCCCGCGGCCACTGCTAGAATATTTTTAGATCCTTGACTCATTATTGATTGCGATAATTGTTGTTTTATACATAATAGAATAAAAGCGCCAGTAATAACTGAAAAAAATGCATATGTGTTGTAGAAAATATTGGCGGAGATATTTAGTCGATGACTCAAATGCCCAAAGTTTCCACTGCATATTTATCTGCATGTAGAAAGTGCTAAATTAGGAACAGAAATTCTTTTTGATAAAATTGCCTTCAAATCACGTCTATTGCATTCAAATTTGGTAAACGCGGACGTAAAATGGCTACGGTGGGTACCTTCAAGTTGATGAACGCAATTAATACGTTTTTCCACGGGGAAACAGTGTGTAACATTTTTTTCCTAGTGCCCAACAAAAAAGCCTAACACCAAAAACCACTATAAGTTCATACAAAAAGTTCCTCAAGGGTTGATTATTTGTGGGTTGTGTTCCAATGTAATTTAGAAAAACCGAAATTTTGGCCCAGCATTTTTGTGGACTTTACCATTCGTATTTAATAATTTTCTTGAGTAGCTTGCATACGTGTATTGTGGGATTTTTGCCGTAAAATCGTATAAGTGAAACTCTAATTATACTATAATGCTTCCAAACTGGACATTATACAGGGTGTTCCGTAAATGTGTTAAAATATTCTAACAGCGTATTCTTCTAGTCATTTAAGAAAGGGTCTTCCTGAGAATTTTTTTTAATTTGAGGTTTCGTTGTTGAGTTATTTGATTTCCAAAATGGCGGAAAATATTAGTTTTTGTTGTTTTCCTTTAAAACGGTTAAACATAGAAACTTCAATTTTGGTATACATTATAAGCTAATTAAGTGCCATTTTATGATAGTGTTTCGTGGTTCAGTTTGCTTTTATACAGGGTAGAAATGTAGAAATGCCCCTACTTTTGTTTTGTTCAGAACTTTTTTGTGTGCACTTAAACTTTTCTCGACATAATTTTGTTAATTACGACATGCTATTTGCAAACTTTTTTATCTCTTATTGTTTTTTCCTAAGACCACTAGTTTGCCCGCAAAAAATAAAATCGTTTTCGTTGCCGTTCTCAACATCTGTAAGTAATTAAGTTAATTTGTAAAAATCTAATAACGTTTTCATATAACAATTTTGGTACGCATTATTAGTTGATTACTAACAACCTAAATTATTTTTCTAAACTGTGTATTTTGGTCAGATTTCAATTATTAAGTTTGAATAAATGTTACTTAAATAAAAACATGGTAACAATATGCGCAACGATATAAACAAGCAAAATTAAATTTAAATGACCATTCTAATGTTAACTTAGCAGCTGTTAAAATTGGTCACCTTGATATTCTTGGCATAATCGCAGTCTTTTAATGAAATTAAAATGTACAGACCGTAAACTTTGCACTGAAGTTTTTATTTCGCCAGAAATATTAAATATTCTTTCCTAAAATTATTCGATTGAATTCACTTCTGTTGAATTAACCGTATTTCTTAAATGGCCCCAGAAGTAAAAATCGAGCGCGTTTAGACCGGGAGGTCTAGTAGGCGAGTTTATAGGAACTTCTTGACCTACACCAATCTAACGGCCTGGAAAGTTTTGTCCAAGCCGAAACGATTTAATTTTTTGCGGGCAATCTAGTGCCCTTAAGAAAGAACCATAAGAGCTAAAAAAGTTGATAAATCACTTGTAGTAATTAAAAAAATTATGTTGATAAAAGTTTAAGTGGACACAAAAAAGTTCTGAACAAAACAAAAGTAGAAGTTCCACATTTCTACCCTGTAAAAAAGTAAACTGAACTACAAAACACTACCATAGAATGGCACTCAATTAGTTTATAATGTGTATCAAAATTGAAGTTTCTATGTTTAACCGTTTTAAAGAAAAACAACAGAAACTAATATTTTTCGCCATTTTGGAGATCAAATATCTCAAAAATGAGACCTCAAATTAAAAACATTCTCAGGAACACCCCCCTCTAAAATGACTAGGAGAACACGCTGTTAAAATATTTTAACGTATTTACGGAACACCCTGTATATCAATGCCACATAGCTTGCAACACGTTTATTTTATTCGTGTGCTGGATTACACAATAAGTAATTTAGCGATTGCCATTACAACGCTTTCTATGGCATTTTCCCGATCAAAGGCGCCTTTGTTACACAAATTTTCTGTACGACTCAGCCTGTGCAACTTGAAATTTAAACCGCCAAAATAATAACAATTTGAATCGCATATTTCCTACTGTCAATAACAATTTTTAACTCGGCTTCCATTGGGCGGCCCAGCAACAATAAATATCTATGTTGTAGATTCGTAGGAGTTCGTAAAAACTTCCTTTCACGTATCTTTTAGGCAAAACGGTGTTTCTTGAGTAGACACAATTTCATCACGTCTTCTGTTACAAATTTAACAAGTATCTCTTCATCTTTATAAAGGGCGAATTGTTTACGAGTGATTTTTTTGCGTTGGGAGATAAAACTGCACTAGTGATCAATTCGTAAAATAAAACGTAAAGAAATCCAATTACGGCCCACGAAAAGGTTTAGAAAATACTAAATCATACTCTCAAATAATAGGAAGAATATGAAATAGTCACAGACATGTATATCACAAAGTTCAAGATTTAAACTCAGCCGATGCTAAAAAGTGAATCAGAATCCCCCAGAGGCATTCAAGCTCAGCAGACCAAAATCCATTTGCGCAAAATTCTTCGAACGGATGAGTCTTCTTCGCTAGACGTGGAGCAACGATTTATCATTCAGAAATTGTTGCATAACATCCTATTCTAGATACCCTGAAGCAAATATTACATGTCAATGGTCAAATGTTCATTAACCATCAACCATTAATATTAATGAAAATAAATCGGACAAAAGACAATCCGATCCTGTTACAAAGAAAATGGTCTAGCGGAAAACCAGACCGACCTATAAATCTGGTATGAAACATGCCTAAGAACACTTAAAACAGCAAAAAAAAACACTTAAAACAGCTAAAACATGATCTCAATTGAGCTGAAACCCAAAGAACAATTTGAGCCACAGAATTCGTTTTGGCATCGTTGGATTGATAATTGAAAATTCGACTCAGTCATAACAACATGAGTGAGGAAATTCGAGTAGTTTTGCCCCAGAAAGAGAAATTTAAATACCAGACACTTAGGTGCAAGATTATGCCAAAATTTCTTGTTTCTCGTCCCGTTTTTGCTCATTTCTCGGATGCAAAATGAGCAAGAACGCTCTATTTTACATCAATCCAGAGAAAACTAAATGGCCTTTTAAGAAAGTGAACCATCGATAATAAAATGTTGACGGTTTTGTCAAAAAGTCATGATTTCACGAAGTTTCAGATTTGCGTGTTTTTTTTGTTGCAAAATCGACTCAAACATGACGCTGCTTTTTTCGAAGCTTCTCGAGAACCATTTGAGCAACTTTTGAGCAACAACAAGAATGCGTTTTGGTATCGTTGGATAGATAATTGAAAATTCGATTGAGTCATAACCAGATGAGTGAGGAAATTCAAGTAGTTTTGACCCCGAAATTCTTATTCAAGATCTTATTGTGAGAACAATATGGAGCTGCTTTGTTTATAAATTGAATCGATTATACTTACTTTCCATTTTGGTTTTTTCTTTTAATCGCCCATTATTTTCTTGCTTTATCTGATTGCAATTTAAATACACCAAGGGTAATGTTTTCTCGAAAGTGCTATTTTGAAGCAAAAGAAGCAAAAAGCAAACAAATTTGCTAATGGAAGGAACACTGTTTTTTATTCCCGAATAACCCGTTACAGAGCAAAACTAAGAAAAGAACAAAAAAGCAAATATTTTAAAAACCCGTAAAACACAGTTATAATAAAAGGCAAATATTTTAGGGACTGATCTTTTCTGAAAAAAAGATTTCGAATGACTAACAATATTAACAAGAAGTAAAATTAATATTTAATACATTAACCGTTACTTATCATTATCATTCCTCACTTTGCATGTTTTAACAATAAAGAAGTCACTAATGAGTGCTAATGAGGCATTTTATGATTTTGAACAGTTTCTCTGATTCATTCATCTCATTATAGAGTAAACCGTATATTAAACCCCAATTTAAAATTACCATTTAAACACATTCTGAAAATATATTTATATAGAATTTTTAGGTGTCGTTTCTATGTCCTTCGAGTTTCCAGGTGCTTCATGAAAGTGCATTCTCTATTTAGATAAATGGACTATTAATGTGTATAAAAGGCGACAAACAATCCTGAGTCATAGAACGAAATGGTGCTTACTTCCAAGTGCGACAAGAAATGGAAAACGTGATTAAATTTGCTAATTACAGAACACCGTTTGTATGCATTATGCATTATCGGTATTTTGTAATTTCCCATGAAATTTTCCAGTATCAAAATTCCTGATGTTATTCTTAATATTTCGTAACTTGTTTGTACAAATTTCAGCTCAAGTAAACGGAAAAAGCATGCTACTTGTAGCAATTGGCGTTAGATTGCGTGCAACAACCTGTAGCTCAAATATATAGTGAAAAATCACGTACCAAACTTAATTTCCAATCCTTTATCAATCGCAAAATTTGTTTAATGTGGAAAACGAATTACCGGGTATATTTAAATAGCAAATTCTATATAAACACCGGAAAATTACAATTAAAACTTGCACCAATTTGCGCACAATTTATATCGCATGAAGTACGATTATTCTGCGTTTCAGCTCGTCGATTAAGAAGGTTCTTATTCCTCTTACAAAGAGGGGCCCCTGTTTCGCTTTAAGTGATAATTTCAACAGTTTTATTTAGAAGATATTTAGCATATCGTTGTGTTATCTTCGGCGGTTCTCCTTTGGGTCGACATGCACAATTATTTAATTGATATGCCCAAATGATGCAATTACCTGCGTCGTCGTAACCAGTGCATTCGGAATGTCCTCTAAAAAATCACACATATTTTTACGTTCTAACCGTGAAACATTAAGAAATATTCACAGTACGCGACCGAAGCTTGCGAGAGTAGGCACCCGGTACTTATCACACTAGTCAAACCTGCTTCGCGAATGGTTCTTTAAGTTTAGTTGAAATTAAAGGAAATTACTATCGTTTAAAAAATATACATCACAATGAGGCTGATGTTTTACGTAGTGCTGAATTTATTGGTGCTTTGCAACCATTTGGTTCTGAGTGAAAATGTCGAAGAGCTGAAGCAAGTGCGGATCAGAGCGGCATATAATTACGGAAGACCTGGGGATCCAAACAGGTTTGAAGATGCACCTTTAATTTATTTAGTTTAATGACACTTTGGCTCTCATATACATATACGGGCGGTCTACTCTTGGAATTTCTGACAATTTTTTTAAAAATATGCTTTATTCAGAGACTTTCTCCCTCTGGATTTCGGCATGCGTCCTCCACCACCACCACATGACCATCTTCCTTACCATCATCTACGCAACGGCCCCCCAGATCCAGGACACGTTCACTATCACTTTCTTAGTTCGTCAAAAACAAATGAAAAATCTGCAAGCAACTTCGCAAATACATCAGGAGTAAGTATCTGGGAACTAGGAATTATTCATACATTCACGATATCAATTAAACCAATTTCCTGAAGATCATTTGTTTTTATACCAGGATGAAGTATCAATTCTAATGTGTGTCCATACTTTACTAACAATGTTATTTTAGGTACCTTTGGACTTTGCAAAATCCATAAACGAATACATCGTTTCAGATTTGCTTCTCAATGCTATAGAAGATGGGCCGGAACCAGAAAAAGTCTCGTTTATCGCCAGTAAGTAGACTATTTATTTTCAATACAAAAATACCATATTTAACAATGTAATATTTACAACAGGTGATTTATCGTAAATTGCTTAAAATAATACGCATTAATGCTAAATAAACAAATAACAAGTTTATATAAAAAAACGTGAGTGTGTTGCGCTCTTGAATATTCACCATCAATACGCGCAACTTAAAATTGATTGTTAACAATGACCAAGTCAATAGCAACAAACATATTTTTGTTAACTTTCCAACATTTTTAAATAATTCAAATTCATTTTTATCCAGCACAAGGAGTTTGCTAAATTGGCGACCAAAACACTAGCGGAACATTTCTAGAAAATTACCGATCCGAATCCAATTCGATAGGTTTTCAAATAGAAATTGTATGGGAAATATTTGTTGGGTTAACCAGCATCGAGAAAATAAGGAACAACATTTAAATAAAAGCTTTCATATATTCACATGTCAGTATTTTTTTTCAAATTATTTGCACTCGTTTGTCCAACAGAAACTATTAAGTAACAATAGAATAACGCAAGATATTTTCTGTTCGACTTTAAAAAAATTAACCAGCAATTCGAATATTGAACTGAAACAGCGCTTAAAAACGGGAAATATTTGATTCGCATTAAAACCCAATGTGAGCAATTTCTCAAACACCTAAAAGTGATGTTTCGATCGCCAGCAATGGATTCACTCAATTGTCTGGTTCTTCGGCATCAAAGCTCTTCATTAAGTTCCTTCGACACTTCACATTTCCTTCGTAGATAATCAGATAAAAATTACTGTCCTTTACGTCTTTACCGCTATCATAAGCTATGTAAATTTTACAGGGCCTCTGCCACTTGGTTTCCTTCATTATCTTCTTCGAGCTGGGCCTGTGGAACTCCACATGTCCTTCTGCAGTCAAATACTGCACTTTAACATCTGAACTATCACTTTCAGGTTCCAAAATGTCGATATCGCTAGTGTCTAGCTGGGTCGAAGACAATTTTTGACGCTTTCGCGGTGATTCTAAAATGTTATTCATTGGAGGCGAAGGGGATCCTACGCTTTTGCTTTTGCTACTACCATTGCTATCGAAGTTGAGTTTTCCAATTAAGCGTCGGGCACTTGTGGAAGGCTGCAGTTGCTTTACCGGAGTGTTCATTAGCGTGGGCCTGGGGGGGCTTAAGAAGCTTGAACGCAAAATCCTTCGCGCCGATCTGCAAAGGAAAAATCCCTTAGACTTCATCAACTTCAGATAAAGCAGCAAACAAATCGTACTTGGGCGCCTTAACCAGATGCGTATCCCTGAACCCGATCTTGCTAGTCGACTTGGCTTCCTTGAATAGATGCCTGATCGGATTCACCTTGGTTTTAATGAAGGATGCCACTTTTTTCTGGCCCCTAATGGTCTGACCAAACCAATCGAGAACTATATCTTCGGCTAAATAATACTTCAAGTGGGTTTTCGAGGTTTCTATGAGATCTGTGAAGAAGTCCAGCACCTTCTGGGCATCTTCGGTCGGTTTTTGGCCATTCATCGCAAACTGCTGCTGTAAATATTGAGATTTCTAATAGTTTTCTGGTTGTTTCAGATAGATTTGGCGGAGACACTGATGGGAACGAAACCGAAAGAAGTAAGTAGATAATGATACTTTGTTCGAGTTGATTTTAAACGTATAGTTCCACTCCCAGAAAATTGATAGTGTTTTTCAAACCTGTACTAACTTGAAATATTTGCATTTTTCGTGAAAACTAAATTCATTCCTAAAATGAGCTTTGATGCGAAAAAGAGAGCAATTTAAAGGTCTAATCGACATTGATAAATAGATCTTTTCTGCTCAACGTGTTCTCTAAATATGAGTCACATAATAAGAGCGGTTTTCTAGACCCGCGGTAATTTAGAACTTTTGCGTTTTGCGTCAAAACCTGAAACATTCCAAAAATTATGTTTAGTATAAAAAAGGGCGCACTTCAAGGCTCTATCCGGCTACAGCTTTACAACTCAAGACCTGAACTAAGACCCGGACTATTTATTAGATAATAGAATAAATAATCCGTTGTGCTATCTAATCGTTTTCATCAATGTTTGTTTTTGCTAATTAAGATGCAGCCCTGATTGCGCGTCCAGCCAAATGCATGCCCGAATTGACTACTGTGAAAATAGCACAATCAGATGCAAATGTGTTTTACATTCCTGAATGTATAAGAATCGAGCGATGTGGAGGCTGTTGTTCACATGAGCTGCTGTCTTGTCAGCCAACAGAAACTGAAACGGTTACCTACTCGGTAAGTGTATTTGGGCACATTCGCCTAAAACAATCCAATTTACAAATTTGCAGGTAATGAAAACTGGCTACACTACTGGGACCAACAAGCTGCTAAAGTATGTGGGAAGGGAGCCAATTCTCGTGGAAAAGCACACGAAATGTAGCTGTGGCTGCAAAGTTAAGGCAGCGGTAAACATAATAAACTTAATTAAATAAGTCAGTTTCTTATCATAATGCAAATAATGTAATTGTTTCAGGATTGTGGCAAATATCAGGAGTACAGAGAGTCAGAATGCCGTTGTGTCTGCAAGAACTTTGACGAAGAAGAAAAGTGCTACAAGAACAGCTACCTGAAGCTGTGGAATCCCAACATCTGTAGCTGCCAATGTCGTGAAATTTTGGACTGTTCTACCGGCTTCCAGTTCGACCACAATGAATGCAGATGCATCAAGGTGCAAGTAACAAGGCGCTATATATTTTCCGATGTGAACAGACAAAAAGAACAACCCGAATAGTAGTGATTTTATAGTTGTCAAAAGTCCAAGGCTGACGCTTTGGCAATAGCAAAAGTCGACTATTTTAAACGTAGAACGATGTAATATGCAGATTTCCCTGTGTGCGATGAATATGTAAAGTGATATAGTCATATTTTATCCTACTTACTCAAACTTTCTCAGCTCCTATAGAGGTTAGAATAGCTTTGTTTATTTCCCAGTTTTTCTCCTTAGAAACGGCATTCTCAAACAACGAAATACAACCTGATAAAACCAATGCTATTGGGGATTTAAATGTGTTGAACACTCAAGGTTTGTTAAAAAAAGGAGAAAGTTCTTAAGTTGTTCTCCGGGGTTTGGCAGGTGAAACAAACACAGACACTTTCACAAGCCCTTCCAGATAAATAGGCCGTATGTTCAATTCTCAGTACTTACTGTTGGTTAATTAATTAATTGCAAACTATCCATCAAATAGGAATTTTAAATAGGAAAATTAAAACAATAATAACAAAAACGTCACTATTACCAAGTGAAGCGTTGAAAGCAAAATAGGCCGACCGGTGTTGCCGATAGTGTCTAGATTTGAGACTTCTTTGGCAATTGGGGGCATCTAGCATTAAACGTCTGGAATGGAATGATCGCAAACTGCTTTAAAACATGCAAATATTTCTGAATATAGGCAAGAGTGTGGGACACTTTGCATTTTAGGGGCGGCCGTAGGAGAGCAACGGCAACATTTAAGCTGCCAAAGCAAAAGGAGGCGGAAGACAAAGCTTTGAATAGTTATTAGGTTATGTGATGTTCGTACCTGAAGACAGGTTCGAATAATCAAATTGCCACCGACTAGTTGCTCTGGAGCATTTACAAACAATTGAATACTGTAGTTAAACAAACCGAACCAAATCAAGATGAAGCGAAAGTTTGCCGAACTTGAGAGCGGAGAGAACACTTCAGGTGAGAAGAGAACATGGGCCTTAGGACTGCTAAAGGCCATGAACAATCCCAACTCGGTACTGAAAACCGATAACAAAGTGACAATGATTAAAGACCTTTACCCGAAAGCCAGGCATCATTTCCTGGTGTTGCCCAATAAAGATATCAGCGACTTGAAAACGGTTCAGCCCGAACACCTGGGAATGTTGAGACACATGGATAAAATCGCTAAGGAATATGTGCAGGAAAATTACCCGGGAGTTAACTTCATGATCGGTTATCATGCGGAAGCCAGCATGCATCGGTTGCACTTGCATGTAATCAGTGACGACCTGGATTCCACAGCAATGAAAACGAAGAAGCACTGGAACAGTTTTGCGACCAAGTTTTTTATCAATTCGAAAGATATTCGACAAAGTTTGGCCAACAACGGCTCTGTCCAGCTTCCTTCTAAAGAACAATGTAAACAATATCTAGATACTGCCTTAAAATGTCACAAGTGCGACTTCAAGCCCAAGCATATGCCGGACTTGAAAAAGCACATATTAACTCACCTTAAGTAGTAAGGGGAATTATTTACATATCTTTTGTTCAAATGGTTCATTCAATATCTAAATAAATTATGAATAACGGATAAGTATCAGAGTTTGATTTTTTTCATCCAATTTTTCCTTGCTCTTATGGAGCTTGATTTTCCTCTAAAATATATCTAATTCTGTTCTAGTTTCTAGTGTCAAATCGTCCAAAAAGAAAGTTTGGGACTGATGTTAACTTCAATTATTTTAAACCCGAACACGCTAGGAAAGATTTCGTGTTTACTCGAAAATCTAAGAGTACCTTTTCTAAATTGTGTAGAGGAGTGTTTTATTTATAACTGAATTACGATTTTCCCGTATCTACGCCACTGGTGGAGATAAAACAAAATGTTTATCACAAAACATGGCCTGTTGTAAACTATCGAAACGTGTAAAAATTCGTTAAAATATTCCAGGCTGTTCCGTAATATCGCAAACTTTGATCTTGTTCATGAAAATTTTAACACGCTGTAGATAGAGCGTTTTTAAAATTTGGTATATCACGAGTCGTTCTTGGATGAATTTCCCACGTAAAAGTAATTTCTGCTCATAATCGTCCACTTATATTTATTTAGGTTTCTAGCTGCTGTTGCCAGTTAATAATATTTTTTATCTTGACTGCTTCCATAAAATGAAAAACTTGAGAACTTTCAACCATTTAAGCCAACGAATTCTTGCTTTACCTTAAGCGGTTCGCCTTAAGGTCAACATTTTCAAAACGAACGTTACTTCAGGCAACAACTCCAACCATAATAGTTAAAGGGAAAACAACCTCTTAAAAAACGTTTTGCATTTATTTAGTCCTTCTTCAACCAAATCACAATCCCAACACAAATTGACTACTTATCATAGACGGTGTATTAAAACTATATTTTTTAACAAAAACAATACTGATTTGGGTCAGTAACTTATCTAAATGAACGTAAGCGCTCCCATTTTGCACGAATTTCACTAGTGTCCCCAAAAAGTTCTATACTTTGTTCTTCAGAAATATGGGAATTATTGAAACAACGGCAAACACAGCCAGCCACATAAAGGAATTTAAGTTGAATGCACCATTTTGCACAGTCATTGTATGCAACGTCTGTCCTCCTTGGATTGCAAAGAAGGAAGGTGGTGCCACACCTGCCCCATAAAAAATATAATGTTAAAAAATATATATACGCGTGATGTATCGGCAATCCCATGATGTATCGGCCATGGATCAAGGGGGTATTATAGGAGCAATTATCAGGCTTCGTTAGCAACGTTTATTTAGTCACTCGAATACCCGCATCTGCTTTTGGTGTATGGATTGATCACTGGTCGAGTCCCTAATAGGAATCTGCTTAAAATCACATCACAAGATCAAGCCTCAAAGCCGACTTTAGCCCAAAATAAACCATTGGTGCTGTTCGGCTGTTTTATCAGACCTGGATAATTTCTTAATCAAATACTACTGAGTTTACCACATGTACTCAGTAGATGTTTTCGACTTTAAAGTGCTTCGACAATACATATTTAAACTATGAAGGCTTCACTGGACACCTTTAATAATCTTACCTATAAATGTGCCTAAAGCAAACGGAACTAAGGGCACTCCAAGAACTGGAGCGGCCAAATTGATGAACCAATTTGGCAGAATGGGGGTAACTCTGAGGAACACCATGTAATTAAATAAGTTGTTTTTGTGCTTGTCGACCTGGACACTCCATTTGCTGGCTTTCTCCGGAAAATACTGCAATGATCAGTTTTAATCACTTATCTAATATTGAAGCCTCAACTACCTTTATCACAAGTCTTCTACCTAACAGTTGAGACAGTAGAAAGCACAAAGTTGCTCCCAGCATTGAGCAAGTGCAGACCAGAATCAGAGCCACGTAGAATGGGAATAAGTAGCCCGATAAAATCGAGAGGAACAATGATCCAGGAATGGCGAACGATTGTAGGCTGGATAGTCATGAAATTAAGGAACAACTAGCTACCAGCCCGTGAAATCTACATTAAAAAATTTGACAAAAGGATACAAAATGTACGTTAAAAACACCCCACTCATCACATGATAATAATGGTCCAGTTTATATCTACTTAAAACTATGCCTAAGTTTTTGGCGTCTTCTATGTTCCATGGCACTTTGATATGCTTTTTCTCGTCTCTAAAAAGTAGCAAACCTTTGAAAATCACATAAAACGCTGCCTTATTACCATACTCACTCAGTGACTTCTGGGAATGTTTGGTAAACCACAAACATGGCTGCTAGGGATGTGATAAAAATAAGAAGCACTGTTAGTGTAGCGTATCTAGTCGATATTTCTTGAGGCATCGTCGCGTTAGCACCTAAATATAAAACGCATTGTTTTCCACATTACCACAGTAACATTTTGGTCCAAATCGTCGCATAATTTAAATAAACCTAAACATACTATAACCAATACAGGAAACAGGTTCGTGGATCTGGAGTTGCAAGTTGAGGATATATCTGGGACTTTGGGGAACATGTAGGTGTCGAAAGGACGCTCTACCTCGAATGGAGAACCTCGACACGAAAGGAGTGGTATATAAGTCAGAAGAGGAACTTATTATGGGGCTCTGCACTAAATGTTCACCTTGGACTTGGGCGGCACTCATCTTTGTAGGTTGGAGCGTTTGTTACACTAATGATTTTGATGCCAGTTCCAAACACTCTGCTTTTTCTGTTACTTTGGTAAGTTTGATTTTAATACCCAAAACGTATTTGTTTTTGTTTCAAATTTTCCTTCACAATTTCACAAGGACACTGCAGTTTATAGGTTATGCACACCACGTAGATAAAGACAAGTCTAGATAGCCATTGCACAATGTTGAACCGCGTTACCCTCCTGCCATCTATGAATGCAAGTACGCCGCTACGTTCTTTACCCATTACTTTAATTGAGATTTTAGATTAAGAAATGTTTAATATTCAGTTTAATATATTTGTACAGTGACAAAACATAACAAATATATCAAATTGAACATAAACATACTCCTAATCTCACTTAAAGTACTTCGACAGCGATTGGTGTTTGGATTTTGGAAGTATTTTCAAATTTTTATTGCAGTAAATAAATGGGCGAAACGCCAAGTACCATTAATTTGTGAAAAGTGTATCATACAAACAACAAACCTTTGGTAAAAAAAGTAAAATGACCACATTATGAACCAAGTTTGAGTTTGAGAAAATAAACGAAAAATTCAATGTAACAACAAATTAATTAATTAAATACAATTATCGATGCAGATACATATTTAGGTAGGCATATGAATATCACAATAATACATGTATCCCGACATATACTTGTGTACCATGAGATCGGTTCCATAAGTCTAAAATCTACGGTAATAAGTAGATATAATAATAAAATAAGTAAAAAGTAATAAAATACTTTTACCTACGGCAACTACTGTAAGTATATACAAATTACCAATATACAGGGTGAGTTTTTTAAAGTGTTACAAGTATATATCTCAGAAACTGTTTCAAACATATTTATAAAATTTGGTGAAACCTAGAAGCCGTCAGAATTTTCATATTTTATCGAATAATTCGAAAACCGTTAGTTTTTCAGGTAAAACGTTTCCATTAAACTTACATTCAAATTTGACGATACATCCGAAAAGCGCTAAAAATGGGGAGGGTTCCATTTAAAAAACCATACTTGTGTTATGTCACTAACTGCCACACATAAAGGTACTTTTATGACGCAACCAGTATATTGAAGAGTCATTGTAACATGTGCACCTTTTAAACATCAAAAACTTTCGTAGGAAGTATTTTCTTTTGAAGTTCATATTTACTGAGATATCGCACTTTGACGCACTAATGAGCAACCGTGTGTATTTTCAGGCCTGGAAATCATCAGGCTTGAGTAACAGAGAAGTAAAAGTAGAACATTTACCAATGTAGAATATACAGGGTGATTCACAAAAACCTGTAATCCCATTTACTACGAAGAGGATATCTATATACAGGGTGATTCACAACCTTATGGACACAAAACAGGGGCGTGTAGAGGAACTCAAAACAAGTCGAGTTTCCATTTAAGTTTTTTTCTCAGGCGTTCTCAGGTCAACGTGCCATACAGGGTGCTAACGCTTTAAAAAAAATGGTTTTTTCTCTTTAATTCCTACAGTTTATGAAATAATTTGCTCAAATTTTAAACGTAGGCTAGTGTTTAGACCCTTAGCCGTAGGTAAGGCGACTGGTTATAAAAATATACAGGGTGTTCCTTTTTATAGAGGCATACGTTCTTTCGGGCTGCTAATGCCTCTTTGCTCGCAGCATTACGTGCTACGGAATACGTAACTTTATATATAACAATATTTTTCCATTGGTCAATTCTGGTAGCCAACCAAACAGGTAAGTGAAATTGATACTTTTCGTCAATTTGTCCAGGTTTCTGTCTAGATGCTCAATATTAAGTATTTTTTATAAAATATCAGTTTATAGTTATTCAGTCATTAGAAGTTTGGTCAGAAGTCATAATAATTAAGCTTAAAGATAGTCAGTCTACGGTTAGGTTTGGTTATAATTAAAATTCATATTCAAAATTGTATTAATTTGAAATAAAGTTGCTTTTATCGACGCTGGGGATTACTGTGGGACTTTGGTTTGCGATCTGACGAAAGCTTTTGACTGCGTTTCATCTAATATTCTTGCTTTGAAGTTAAAATATTACAAATTCTCTTCGAAGAGTGTCAATTTGATATATTTTTATTTGACTGATCGGTCACAGCTCGTGAGCCTAAACGGGAAGAGATCCGAACTTTGTCATTTACACTATGGAGTGCCTCAAGGGTCTATACTTGGACCTTTGTTGTTTATTATTGATATTAATGACTTAGTAGGCTGTGACACTTCGGCTGATTTTGTCCTGTACGCAGATGATACAACCATAGTCAGAAAAGCTGAAAATACTGGTTCTTTGAATGGTTACCTAAGTGAGTCTCAAACTATTGTCACTGACTGGTTAGTGGCCAACCAGTTGAGCATGAACGATGCAAAGAATCGGAAGCTGATTCGGTCTACTTGTGCCACCAAAAATCTCAAAAACTCTCATGGAAACTACATCTGGCGGATGTATGAAGCAGTGTGGCATCAGGTGTTTTTGCTTTGCGGACACTTGCTACCATAATCTCAAAAGGAGCAGCCTTAACAGTTTATTTTGCTTGTGTGCACTCTAAAATTTCTTATGCGATTCTAGCATGGGGACATGCGGCTGATACAGTAAGAGTGTTTGCCCTTCAAAGGAGAGCTATTAGAATCCTCAGTAATATTCGTTACAGAGGCACCTGCCGATCTCATTTTTCAAAATTGAAAATTTTTACGGTATATTCATTATACATTTATCAATGTCTTGTACATGTTAAAAATAATGAAGATTCATACTGCACACACGACAGTATCCATTACCATCATACGAGAACCAAAGGGAATACATATACTGATTTTTGTAGAATTCATAAATTGAAAACTG